ACACACACACACACACACACACACACACACACACACACACACACACACACACACACACACACACAGCCATGCACACGAGGACTGCACATGTAAAAATATTTCCATGTATATATATATGTTTATTCTGACATTCGGGACAAGGTCTGGGGGATAAAACACACCTTTCTACAGATTAACCCAGTTTCCAACAGTTAGATATGAACCTGTTCGCTCAAACATCTCATGGATCTCCTTGTCAGGCCTGCCTGAAAATAATAGCCAATTAAAAGAATGCTGCTCAGTGAGGCTGACGGGAATATGGCTGCAGTCGAACTCATTAAAATCACAGATGCCGCATATTCCGAACATCGTACATCTGCTTTGGACGCGTAAAATCTGACTATAGCTTTACGTTAACGTGTCGCTCTGATTTCTGTTAAGTCTGAGTAAATTATTTCTTGGAAGAATCTTTTTCTTTTTTTAAAAATCATTGGCTATGACGGGAGCTGGGCTAAAGTCAACAGGAACGAAGGGCGCACTCACACATATCAGCACACACACCCACACACACACATACAGAGGGGCACACACACAGCGCCTTGGAGGTGCTTGGGCGAACAGACATGCTGGGAAATCGCCTGGAACTGTATTAAGCCTGACGTCCTTAAAACAAACAATGGCACCATGAAATAAGGGCTTATGCGCTCAAAGTCAAAGAGCCCCTTTAGCAACTCTCTCTGTTTATCTCTCCCTCTGTCTGACACACACACACAAGCTCTCTCTCGCGCGCGCGCACGCACTCACCATTTCTTGGGGGGTTACACACTCAGGCTCGCAGCTCCATCGGGAGGGGACCAACTTTGCTCCTATGAACTCTCACCTGTCAACATGGAGCAGAGGACTTTACTTGGTAAACATGAAAGGACTTTAGCTGTTTACTTCTGGCGGTGACTTAGCCTGATTTATCCCACTGCAAGGCCACGGTCACAGCTAGTTATGCGAGTGCTTTTCAAGGCGAGGTTAAATCCACACCGATCCCCGTTCAATAATGGGACGATTTGAATGCGTAGCTGCATTTTCAGCGACTTCAGTTATTTCCACTGGTCACCTGTCTGTGCTAGTCCAAGCTGATTTGACTGGATTAAAGTGACACATCCAGGTAAACGTTTGGTGTGGCTTAAGATGCCATCGCCCCATATAAGTTATGATTACACTAAAAATCTCGTCATTTTTCGAATTTAAAAACAACTCTTTACCAATGAACTCTGATCATATGTTTTTTCCCCCCCCGAACATGGTGGCCCCGTGTCCACAAATAAAGCAGCATCACCTTCTATGTTTTTCGGTGTAGTGTGGCATCAAGCTCTGCATCTGCACCACCTCTGCCTGCAGTTCTTTTCTTTTCCCCCCATTTTTAAAAAAATATATACTTCCACAGCCACAGAGCTCCCGTCTGAATATGCTGTTTGAAAAAAAAAAAGGAAAGGCAAGAGCTGTAGCAGATAAGCGGCGGTCTGTTTTCACTCCTCTGATCAGCGGTAATTATATTTGTTGGCGTGGAGGCAAGTGGTCCTCCCCGGGGGGCGTATTGTACTCGACTCACTCCATGTCATAAAACAAAATTACAAGGAAA